TATCTATACACAGTAATGCTCGCCCTTCCATTCACCATTTCCGGACTTTACATTGAAACGAACAGTGTGGTTAGCAAATTTCAGCGCATTTCTTGTAGTTGCTGGAACATTGCTAAAACGAAGTGAATGATCCGCTTCATGATCTGTGATATATCAGTAATATAACAATAACTTATTTCTCATCTATCTGAGAACTTCCTGATTCGAAGTTTTTTAGATGATATGCATTCGTTATTCGTTTTTGATGGCATATAGGTAGATCACCTGTTTCTGGTGAAAATAAATGTACGAAGAATAGAAATCAAAAAAATTTTTTTTAAAGATAAAAAATGCCTGCTGAAAAAAATGTTAAATTGCGTGTTAAAAAATTAAAAAAATTAAAAAAACAGCAACCTTTGTAAAAGTGTCAGTCAGTTGAGAAGTTATATTTCGTGACCAACGTAATGACTGACTTCAGGATCACGCACCGGATTTTTGTCAGAAGAAAGGTATCACTGCAGCAATGGCTGTCGCGAAACACGTTAGAGATGGCTCTGAACAAGTCAGTTATTGTACACAGTAATTCCTTTCTCCCTCGCAGTCGATACCCATTGAATGCATGACCTATCATCCATCAGTTCATTCATGAGCTTTTTGGTTCTTTTGATTCAGATTATTGCCGAGATTACATGAATGTTCCATAATTCGTGGAATCTTTCTGATATATTCAATAACGAATACGATTGAAGGCCGTAAGGGATATGGCGAATCAGATGCTCAAAAAGTGGACGTTGGACAATCAATGCCAGAAGTCAGTGGTTATCGTCGTTGCAGTCGACGACAGAAAGTTCTGGGTTGCACGAGACCCGAAAGTACCCGTTTACGCGGCCGAATTCAATCAAATATTTGCTGATCAAGTACGACTGTGTTCATTTCATTGACTGACCAATTCGGCTTACATTTTCAGAAATCATTTCCCGTCACACCCATTCTGTCTCAAGTTTCTATAGATTTACATCAAGTTTGGTAATCTTCTTCCGTACTTTGAAAGTTTCCGTCAAAAACTTCAAAGTTTTTCTTAACAGTTTATCAATTTTAGTCGTCGCCGTTCAATCGTAATTTTTTTTTGTATTCAGAAAGAACTGTTCGTGAAAGGCGATTATGCTCAAGCACTTGGCAATATTTTACAACAAACCTGGGAGAAAGCAGTCGAGAAACAAGGTCCAGGAACAGGTGGCGACGGGGGCATAGACGATGGTCGTGGTGGGGCTGGTATGGGTGGTGGTCGAGGTGGAGGTATGACTGGTGGGCCGGGTGGTGGTCGGGGTGGAGGTGGTGATCCGTACAAAAAGAAACCAGCGTTTTCACTACCGAAAATCCCGATGTTGGTATGGATCATACTGCTGTGCGTTGTGGTTCCGTTGTTGTTGTGTTGCTGTTGTATATGTTATTGCTGTTGCTGTAAGAAGAGCGCGGGTAGCAATCGAAGGCAACAACCATCGGATATGGAACGGGGTGAGGGTGGACAGGGCGGAGGAGGTGCCGGTCGACGGGCTGGGGGCGGCTTCAATTTTGGTAGCATTTTAAGCGGATTAGGCGGCGCCGGTATAGGTAATTTGGCCGGGCGTCTGCTGAGTGGTGGCCGTGGTGGACGTGGTGGACGGGGCATGGGCGGTGGAGGTATGATGGGTGGTGGTGGATTCAATAT